CATTCAAATGCATAATGAATTGTTCTTACTGCAAAAAATACATATTAAACTCACATATACCTAAAGGCAATGCAATTAATTTTCCCTGTCTAGCAGGATGAAGTGCATTTGTAAAGTGTTTTGGTTCATTAACAGTTAACTAAGTGACAAAATGTCTACACAGCTGAAAGGGACACCCCAGAAACGCTTTTATATACCAAAAATGAACTTTCCTGTTTTGTGTCAGACATAATTCCACTAACAAAAGACATGAGTTAATACTCATGTAACTGCAGCTTACTAGGGGAAAAAAAATACTTTCACAGTAAGAAAGGTAAAGACAGCAATGTCTTCATAGTAGGAGTTTTCTTCTTAGAAGAAGTTAGTTTCTTAGAAGAAACTAACAATAAATGAATTGATGGCTAAAGTGAACCTTTTCAGCGAAACAGTCCTTCACTTAGAAAAATGTAAAAAAATCTCTAAGAGTACTAAGTATTTAATTCCTCAATACCAGAACTGAAAGGCAATTGTAGACCTTGACAGTGCTACTGTCCTTTGTGCCTCTCCAAGGTACTGGATATGCCTTGTGTAAAAGCAGAGCACATTTAACTTTAAGTCTGATGAAGTACACCCAGGCAAGGCAAGCTGAAGACTTGACATCTCAGAGTAGCAATTTCTTTTGATGCAGTTACCTTTAGAGAGGCTATTGTTTTCTGTAAGATGTGAGGGGAAACACGCAAAATCATCCCATCAGTCAAGACTCTGGATAATAGTGCAGTTGTAATTCCACATTAGTCTACTGGTGTATTTGGAAAACATTAATCTGTCTAGGTGCAACGTGAAGTCTTTTCTAAAACTTCTTGGGAAATTTTCGTGTAAGATAATAACAATAAAAAACATCCCAAGCCTTAATTCCTCTCATTGCTTATTTTCTCTTGCTGTTGATCTTTTGATCTTCTCTCTGATTCTCCACTTCACGCTTTTCTAGCATGTACACAGCTTCCTTCTGAAGATCTAGAAACACCCCTTTAAAAAAATCAAGCTGAGGCTTTGGTGACAGATAATGCACAATAGCCAAAATGAATATACATGCACACTGTATGAAGCTGGGGGGGAGATAAAATTTTAGGACCTAAATTTTTTAATACACACCACCATATTGCACTAGCTCTGCTGCAGATTTGTTAGTTGCCTTAAGTCATAAACTATAACAGCAACCCCATGAGTATATACAGGCCATTTGCTTCACATTCATATATTATACTGGGATTTGTTGACTTTACATGCCCACTCGTTTAGAAGGAACTTGTCAAGCTATTCTTGTTTTTATCCAGGGGCTTTAACAAAATATTATGGCATGAACACCACTAAAATGGGAATTAATACACAGTTATTTGCTGCAAAATTCCACCATGAGTTACACTACCAGTTAAATTAAACAGAATATGCAGTTTGGAAAAAATTGCCTATGTCTCAAAGAACACTTCCTCCCAGAAAATATCACAGCCATGCACAGTCACAGCACAGGATTACCATTCTGACAAAAAAAAAAAAAAAAAAAAAAAAAAAGGTGAAACCTGAGCTATAGACTGAATCTTTTTCCTTCCCCCCCCCAGGCTAAACAATTGACACTTTTCAGCCTAATGATTGGTAAGAGAAACAGGAAATTACAGGTTTGTTACACCTGCTCATCAGAATTCAGGAATATCCACTGTGGTGAGACCCCCCCTGCGGTACTGCCTTCAGCTCTGGGGTCCCCAGCACAAGAAGGACACAGACCTGTTGGAGCAAGTCCAGAAGAAGCCACAAAAGTGGTCCGAGGGCTGGAGCACCTCTCCTGTGAGGACAGGCTGAGAGAGTTGGGGTTGTTCAACCTGGAGAAGAGAAGGCTCCAGGGAGACCTTAGAGCAACCTTCCAGTACCTAAAGGGGGGTTATGTTATAAGAAAGGGAGACAGCCTTTTTGGTAGAGCCTGTAGCAATAAGACAAAGGATAATGGTTTTAAACTAAAAGAGGGTAGATTTAGACTAGATACACAGACGAAGTTTTTTATGATGAGGGTGGTGAAACACTGGAACAGGTTCCTGAGAGAGGTGGTAGGTGCCTGGACACAGGTTGGACGGGGCTGTGAGTAACCTGAGTTGAAGATGTCCCTGCTCATCACAGGAGAGGTTAGACTAGATCACCTTTAAAGGTCCCTTCCAATCCAAACTGTTCTATGACCTGTTACAACTGGCAACTGTTAACATGTATAAATAATTATTAGAAAACACAAAGAACAAGTAAGAGTCGTATTTGACATATTGTAAAGTATCTTTAAAATAATCCATATTGTGATACCAGAATTTTTTGACAATTGAAGCAATTCTGTTATCTTGGTTCCCTAGAAATACACTGCTTTTGGAAGGCTGAATAGCTGGCAGAACCCCTCCCATAAACGTCCTAAATACTAGTAAACAGTGAAGGAGAAAGACATCAGCATTTACTACCTTAAACCTGCTAGGTAAACCATATTGCAGAGCCAATTAAATGACATTCCTTGAAACATCTTAAGAATTATTTTTTTCCTGAGAACTACTCCTTACTTTTGATCTTTCATATTTCTCACATAAAGACAACTCAGCACACTCTGTTTTCACATCAATGAAATGAATTCATTCTAGTGGTGACAGTAGCTCTGTGTAAATAAGCAGGAGGATCATTATTATGGCATTAAAATGGTGCAGTATTACGTATGTGTACGTTAAGGCTCTTGCATGAGTAAGAGTGAACTTCACCAACTATTTGAATGAATTGTATCATAACCACCACTGCTGTCCTCATTTTTAGCACTGCTGATTTCTTCAGTCTGCATATGCTGCAGTGATGTCACTCGCAGAAATCATTATTATAGCTGATGGACTAGCTAATTGATTTAGCCAAATCATTATAAGCTTGTTTAAGAGGATTAAAAAAGCTTTATATTGATTTAGCAATATAAGGTACTTTTAATCAGTTTAAAGAGCATCCATACGAGGTGGTCGTATCAATTTAACTGGTTAGATTCGTCTAACTGGGTCACCTGCTAAACCAACTAGTTATATTGATACACCTCTGTGTACAGAAAACATGTTAAATACACAACTTGCTCCACAGATAAGAAACAGACTTCCCATAAGATATTTTCACATTTTTCACAGTTTTATATGCATCCTCTCCACGTCTTACATTTCCTGTATTTATAGGGCTGCCATATTTACTTCCAGAATTTCACAGACAGCAAAATGTGAGTGGATGCTATACGGTTTTTCCAATACTTTGAGGCAGCAGCAGACTTACTGCACATAGAGCGCACTGATGATTGGTATGTGTACCATAAATCTGTCGCTTCCTGAACTTATCAGGCTTACTATACGGCATATATCAAATTTCCAAGGAGGTTCACACTTTCAGCATGTGTACTTCTACTGCAAAAGTAGTCAGAAATTCCTACACAGGCCAGACAAATGTCCTCAAATTCCCTTCAGACAAAATTTCTGACCAAGGAAATAAAAGTATATGTGGAAACCTTTAGGTGTATTTCACCTCTACTATAGTACAGAGTTCTCCCATTTGTAAGCATTACCACTGTGCTACGGATTGCAAGTGATTTTATGCTAACAATCACAACAGGGTAGGAGTAAGAGTAAAGTATAGTATATGAAAATTATGATTTTATATTAGCAAATGCATGACCACATATCTCTACTTGCAATTTTCCCAAACTATAAGAGAACCCATACAAACCCCATTTTTAGACATTGCATGCTTACCTAGGTCACTCTGTTCTGTTCCCCCATAATGGTCCCCAAGAAACTGTCTGACACCTGGATAACAAAGCTCTTTCACCATCTGCAAATTTTTGATTTGTGTATTCTCAGCTTTGACAAAACAAAATTTGTAGTTTGGCAGGAGCAGAGAAAGTAGATTCTTAATGGCTAATAACTCAGGATTTATCACGTAGCTCTCTTCAAGAGATTGCCCAGAAACTCATTGTTTCATCTTCCAGCTGTTTCCCATCAAATTACTATTAAATTATTCATAAATTATTAGATAGTTTCTTCACATCTTTGCAATACTAATCTTAACAGTTTCAAAAGCCTGTAATACTAGCTTTCAGATTTTAAAAATGCACATAAGCAGCAGTAAAATACAGCACAGATTAATAAAATTAAAATCCAAGAAGAGTTTTCCCTTTCTAATATAAACTCTAAAGACTCCCCACTCCTTTTAGAACTTAGCAACATCGCATTATCATCAGTTGCTAGCATATCTATCCCTTTGAACACATGAAAATATAATATACAGATAAAAATAACCAACAGCATTCTTGGCATTCCAACAGTTTCCTAATAAGTTAGGCAAGTAAAAAAAGATTTTATTGGCATTTTTTAATATTACAACTAACCCTTTCGGTCTCTAAATAAAACAGTGCAGGTAAAAACACAGGATGGCTTCATAATGGTTTTATGAAAGGATAAATGAGCACACCTTGAGACAACAACTAATCAAAGTACTGTACCATTAGTGGGTGAGCTGCTAACTAGTCAAAAAGAAATAAAACTGTCATTGTAGGCTAAAAAGGAAAAAATAAGCAATATTTAGACTTTTATCGTGGGGAAAACAGTATTAAGCCTAACTCTGCAAAAAAACCCCTCAGTATTCATTAAGTTAGTCCACTGAAGTAAACGTAATTGAGAGATGAGCATTTACTTTTCCAAAACGTATCACAAAAATGAATAGCTTGAAGGAAGCGCAGACATTCTGCGTATCCAGTCCCTTATGCTGCACCAGGACCATTAAAACCACATGAATTATTTTGTCAAACTGCTTAGGAAGCCCAGAGATGGTCTTAAAACAGTCATTTATCTCAAACTTAGTATGAGCAAAGCTACTTTATTCTCTTTAAACCTTAATTAGTGTACTTAAAATGTAAGTTGCGTTATCAAATATAATTCATCATATTTTAGGGCAGGGGTATTTCGAGCTTTAAATTCACTTACATTCTGCTGCTTGGTATAATCTTCTGCCCGTCTCTAAACCATGTCACTTGTGGTCTTGGGTAACTGAGTATGTGTAGGAAGTTTAGAACTGCAGCTTGTCCTTGAGTCACCGTTTTTCTCTGGTTTGTGTCCATGAAATTTCCCATGTCTGCAAAGAAAAAAATTATACTAAGAGTCCTGGAAGTTCTTGTCTTTCTCCCCATTTCTTTTCAGCAGACAGAGAAAAAATTGTGTTTTACAATAGTCACTGGCATTGCTATAACTAGTTAATATGACACTACAGATCATGAGACAGTTTTGATTAATATAGATTTGGATGAACATAAGGCATAAGGCAAATCCAAGTGCTGCTAGTGCACGCAAGAAGTGCATCAGTCAGCAGTACTGCACGGCCTCAGCCTTCTTTTGCAATAACTGATTGTTTTTAACTGAAAGTGACATTTTAATGGAGGTTTGTTTCCATTTTGGTTTTTTCTTTTCCCAAAGAAATCCTTGAACAATACAAAAGAAATTCCTGTGCAATGCAAAGGGACACAAACAGCGTATATAATTTTAGCAATTTTTTGGTCACCAAGTTGGGGGTTTTTTACCCTTTTATCCATAGCTACATAAACAAACAAGCAGCTGTATCACTTGTAGTCAAACCAACATATACTTAGATTTATACAAGTAAGCCATTTTACCCAAATAGACATCAAAATAACAAGGCTATAGTCACATTGGTAGCTACTAGTTCTTCTGGCACTATACTACAATTTTAATTGTGCACCTGGATCTTCAACATTTACAAAGGCATGAGAAATATTAAAGAGCAGCTTTTAACAAAAATTTTTAATGGAAGAAAGAAAACTACAATTGCAGAACCTCTGTCTCTGAGGCGTTTATTTCACAGACAAGTTCATATATCTATAGAGTTCTCGCAAAAATTCAGTGAACGTTTTCTTCTTGTTCTTGTTGAAGGCCAACAGCATCCTGGCCTGTACCAGCAATAGTGTGGCCAGCAGGACCAGGGCAGCGATTGTCCCCCTGTACTCGGCTCTGATGAGGCCACACCTCGAGTGCTGTGTTCAGCTTTGGGCCCTACACTACAAGAAAGACGTTGAGGGGTTGGAGCGAGTCCAGAGAAGGGCAACGAAGGTGGTGAAGGGTCTGGAGCACAAGTCTAGCGGCTGAGGGAGCCGGGGTTGTTTAGTCCAGAGAAAAGGAGACTGAGGGGAGACTTGATCGCTCTCTACAACGACCTGAAAGGAGGGTGTAGCATGGTGGGGGTTGGTCTCTTCTCCCAAGTAACAAGCAATAGGACAAGAGGAAATGGCTTCAAGTTGTGCCAGGGGAGACTCAAATTGGATATTAGGAAGCATTTCTTCACTGAAAGGGTTGTCAAGCACTGGAAGAGGCTGCCCAGGGAAGTGGTGAAGTCCCCATCCCTGGAGGTATTTAAAAGACGTGTAGAAGTGGTGCTTAAGGACATGGTGTAGTGGTGGACTTGGCAGTCCTACGTTAACGGTTGGAATTTTTGATCTTAAAGGTCTTTTCCAACCTAAACGATTCTGTGATTCTTTTGCCTTTTCTATCACATTCCTATCCATTAAATAAAATAAACAGGGCTGTAGGCTCCTACTTATTCACCCTCCAAAGAACTTCTATGCATTTTCACTGGCTTTAAACCAAGAAACTGACACACACACACAGACAGAGGACTATTCTGGTTTCTGCCACTGACTTCCTTTTTTTTTTTTTTTAAGACCACAGGGTTCTTTACAAGTTCCCTGCTGCGAGAGGGATGCAGAGGACATTGAAACATAGAAGACTACTATCAGGTCTGTGGATGGCAAGAGATAAGAAGAGACAGAATAAGAGCAGAAATTAAAAACACATGGTATTTTAAAGAAGCTTTAATCATCTTTGTGATTTTCATGTTATTTATTCAGACATAATCAGCATTGTACTTCCTCTGTTGCACCATATTTCTTACAACTGTAATCAGATCATCTACATGAAAAGAAGTTTCAAACCGCGTAGGTGGATCTAATTAACTTCACTGTCATATGATTATTTTAGTCTTCACAATCCAAGAGTTTTTAAGCCCATACCGTAATTAAGATTTACTCAGCACTTTTCTCACAAATATCTGTTCCCATTCAGTTAAGTAATATGTTAGCATGCGTTGAGAACAATTTTTAAATTATTTAACAAGTTCCCTGCTACTTCAGAGATCTAGGGCATGGAAAATACCTCAGATATTTCTCAGGGCACATTATAACTGTGCCTTCCAATTTTTCACTAGAGATCCTGCGATTAAGCGTATTGGGAAGCATCCTCCATCCAGTGACAAAAATAGTGCATTTGCTGTGAACCCTTCTGGGTTAAACATCTAACATACAGTTCCCCATAACTCTTGATGACTGGGTAAGACGACTTTAGTAATCCTTTGGAATGTTGCTCTCTGATATATTTTCAAGAATAACCAAAAAGTAAAATATGATAAAATATCCAGTACTTCATTATATCCACACAGCTTAAATCAATTAATTTAGATCAAAAATGTTAAAATACAGAAAATAATCACATGGCAGCAGTAGATATCCTCTTTCTCCTCTACGCAGGGTATCTAAAACTTGTAGAACACTTTAATCTGCAGGAATAAAGTGCAAATCTGACTGACAAGTTTCAGTATAGAAGTTATATATGTTACTATAGGTTCAAGACCAAAGGTCTCCCAAGTCTCAAAGATCTGCTTTGCTTCACCTCAATGTCTTTATCAGTGAAATTAATTACATAAATAAATAGACTGCTTAATTCAGACAGAGAAGTCTTAAGAGAGAGCTTTTTAGCCTGTTCAGCAATGCAAAACTACAAATTAAAGGGGGGGGTGTTTAAAAACGAAGTAAACAATCACACTTTTTTCTCTCTCAAGAACAACCAAACGCACACACAAAAGAGCCTGGAGAAACAAAACACTTTACTGCAAATCTTTCTCTCACTCAGACGGGAAATAAGCTGTCTTTTCAGGAGACAAAATTCTTCAGGAGCAGTATCAAGGTAAAGTACTCCTGTGCCTCCTTCTCACTATCATTCCCACAAGTACTTCCTCAAGAATTGCTCCCACCACTATGCCACTACAACTGCCTGTACAGCTGCGCAGAGAATCAGATCGGGGGGGGGCGGAGGGAGAAGAACTACTTTAACAAACCCTACAAGATAATTGTTGCTTTTTTAAAAATTTGGAGAAGTTTCCTAGTCCACAGCTGCACAAACAAGTTTTCCTGCTG